TAATTTTTGGTATAGTAGTTGTGACTTATTCACACTATATACATTTGGCTTCCGCAACAACTAAACCATTACCTGAGACTATAAAAATTCTGGAAGGTGTTTTGAACAAGAGGTGGTGTATGTTTGAAAGCTTGAGTACGATGGTACATGCCTGCAGATAGGGCATTTCTGCCAGGCAAATAAGTAACCGAAGCAGGCTCAACTGACTAAACATTTCGTTACAGGTTATGCATCTCAGTATACCCTTATTATGTATTTTTTTTTATTTTTTATTTTAATGCAGAAACCAGTTCAGAACTCTGATTTCTACAAAAATAATGCACCTCCATTAAATGGTAAGTGTTTTTTTGGGTTCCCTCGTTTCATTAGTTAATTGCCTGATTACTTGTTCATTTGATTTTTTGGTTATTAAGGATTTTCAAGTGATATTGGAAAATTAGGAGTAGACAGTTGTTCTGTTTTGTCTTGGCAGAGTTTGGCTCTTTCCCGGAAGACTTGGAGCTTATCAGACAAATGAATGAAATGGGACTCCCCATGTCATTCCACACTAACAAGGAGGTATCATACTCCTTTTCTGTTTTAACTTGTTTGATTTTCACATGTTTGCTTTTTATATAAGCTCCAGGTAGTAGACCTCTACATCATTTCCATAATTCCTGTAAACAATTCTGCCACTCTAGATGATACTTATTTTTCAATAATTGATGCTTTCATCAGAAAAAACTTTTACTCATATCCGGTCTCTGCATAATATCTTTTTCGTTGTCTTCTGATTAACATATGATAGTTCAAGATTCTATATTTGAGTAGCATTCCAGTTTTTCCTGATAGTGAGACTGCATTACGATGATATTGTTTAATGGAGAAATGAGATTCTACTCTTTTTAAAGGTTTCAATCTGCAGTGAAAATAATGCATGAATCAGGTCCTTAGATGATAACTAGGTTAAGAATTCAATCAGTAGTTGTTAAGGATATTCACTCATGGTATGGTAAGTGAAATCGTTGTTTCATTTCAAGTTTCTGTTTAGGTATTCATTAAATAATTGACTAATATGTTTAAATGGTTCAATTAAGTCCTAGATCCCCGTAGAAATTCTGCTAGATTATGTTGGCATCTTGTACTCCGACAAGGGGTATAACTTCTTCCCTGTATGTCTCCATCTCTTCTTCCAGAAGAGAAATCGAGCAGTTCTGGGAAAAATAAAGAAGGGAAAGAAGACGAGTCTTTGGTCCTGTGAGAATACTCAGGATGAAGTGCTAAATTCAATACAAGAGCAGAGGGAAGAATGTGAGTCTAATGGTACTCTACACAGCAACTCAAACAAGGTTTCTTCCTCCATGTTAATTCTTGGACAAAGTGAATTCCCATCCTGTTATACCGAGGATGGTTTAGTCAATTGTCTTAATGGTGGAGAAGAAAGTTGGAACAAATTGAGCGCTGGTTGTGTTCACACGTCCCTTGAATGCGCTGGTTGCAATCGGCGATCGGATCTAAGTCTGGATAATGCAAAGGATACTGTCTCTACGTGTGAAAAAGTTCAATTGAAAAAAGATGTAGTAGTAATAGTTGGCTCAAGTTTGGAATGCGGTAATAATGCAGAAAGCTGTCCAATTGATAGCAGTGTTGATAGTGGATGGATCAGTGGAGAGGGATTAAATGGTCATTGTGAGAGAAATCCCTTAAATGGGGAGCAGATGGAGTATGCCTGTGTTGGAAATCCTTTAAATGGAGAGCAAGTAGAATCTACTGCTATGCAAATGACTGAGCATCACACAGAAGATGGGCAACTCTGCAGTTATTTTGGTGAAGAGCTACATAATTGTAATACAACTGGTAACAATTGTGAAGAGACAATTAATGATTGGAGGTTGTATTGGGACAACGATCACCAAAGAAACTACTTTTATAATGTGGTGACTATGCAATCTACATGGGATCCACCTCCAGGATTGGACGACCTAGTATTTACTAATTTTACTACCAAGCAACCCGAGATGGCACTTGAAACAGTGGAGTTGGAGGATGCAGATTTAAAAGAATCTAATAATATGCAAACTTCTGCAAGTATACAGTCTGACCTTGACATTGCAGACGGATTTAGAGATGATGAGGTATTGTTGGACGGACAACTCAATGATTCAGAGGGGACAGGACAATTTGCTGACAGTAGTTTAAGCTCTACCAAACAGAAAAAGAGAGTTAGGAAGACAAAATTCAAAGGGAAGTTATCGATAGAAAGTCAAGGTTTGTGCCTTGAACTATCCTTAAATCTGTCCTTGCATTTATATGCTTTAATGTTTACCACATTAACTGTGTTGGTTCTCTGCAAGATGAGTGGGTAATTAATTACTCCCTCCGTTTCAAAAAATGAACCTTTTACTATTTGGGTAGTCAAACAAGCTTTTGTTTGACCATGATTTTAGCAAATGATTTTTAACTATTGTGACTTATAGTACTTGTTATGAAGTTTCTAAATATGTAAATTTTATTTCAAAAAACTTAAAGAATCTATGTATAAATTTACACCAAAAATTAGTCAATTTGACCCTCGTACTCCAAAAAGGTTCAAACAAATTTAAATGGAGGGAGTATGAATTATTGGTAAGCATGTTTTGTTAGTTATTTATCTATGGTTTTCTCTGATTTAAGTGTTTCTTTCCAACAGTGTTCTCAACTAGAATGCTACGTTTTGTCAGGTTCAACTCAACGAATGTGAAATTTGATAAGTAGTATATACTTCTCTTCTAAATTTCTGTACCTGAAATTTGCTGCTGACAGTTCAATAGTTTGTAGCCGAAGTTCAGAATCTCTTTCTTCAATGGCTATGGTTGTAGCTAGAGTTCAAATTACTTTGGTAAACTTGAACAAGAAAGTCTTTTGGCATTGCTGACTTTATTGAGTAAACTGCTTCGGCATCGGATACTGTGGTTCACCTCCGTCTCCGTTTCTATGAAATTTTTTCGTCTCTAACCTCCTTATATGTGTCAAAGTATTATTGGTTCTAGCTATGTATGAAGGTCCCGTTACCTTGCTTAATGGATATTCTTTTCTTTCTCTTTTCCTGGTACATAGAGCTGCAATTCTGCGATATTAATGAAGAACTATCTCCCAGTTTGAGCAAATATTGGTGCCAAAGGTATCTACTATTTAACAAATATGATGAAGGAATACAGATGGACGAAGAAGGGTGGTTCTCAGTTACGCCAGAGGCCATAGCCAAGCATCATGCACTTCGCTGTGGTTCTGGTACTATAGTCGATCTCTTTACTGGAGTTGGTGGAAATTCGATTCAGTTTGCTAAGAGGTTCGTACGGCTGCATTTCACTTTCTGCTTTTGGTATCTGTTGTATTAGGTTCCTTAGGTTCTTGTGAATGTAAATATTACATATCTATCCCATTACAATTGCAACTCTCAAAGATTATCGGGCCTCATATTGGAGCTTGTGCTTCGAGTTTTCCTTCTGTTACTTTAAAGGATAAAGTTAATTTCTGGTAGATTTTCTTCCTTTGTTACTTGTATGCTATCTTTTAAGACTTTTTAATGAAGGAACAAATTGCATTAATAAGGCATCAAGAAGATGCAGATTTACAAAAGATGATAAAAGAAGACACTAAGTTAGTTCCTTTACAATGTCTAAGCTAAGATCAGGGAGCTAACAAAGTCCAAAAAATTATCCACACTATTAAAAGGAGTGTGAAATATCCAACTAAATAAGCTAACTAAACAAATAACTTTTAAAGAGTTTGTTGGAGTTGAGATTCCATCAAAACATCTGCGATTCCTTTCATTCCATAAACACCAAAAAATTGCTGCTGGAATCATTGTCCAGATCCTCTTGATGGCTTTGTCAATCTCCGAAAAAGCTAGCTGATAAATGCATCTTTATTTGTTTGTAAAAATTAAATTTTATCAATTGGACATTTCCATGTCGAAGTAATTGAATCCTATTTTGGCTATATCTATATATAATGTTTCTATTTATCAGTAAACAATATTTATCTATAGAAAGTATTTATGCAGCAAAGAAAAATATATCTATGGAAAGTATTTATGCAGCACTTTGCTTAATGCTTTGCTTATCTATTCTAGCATGACTAAGATTGTGGATGCTTTCACTGACAACACACTTAAATACATGCAATTCTTAATTTTGTGGATAACTATTTTCAGGAGTAAACATGTCATTGCAATCGATATTGATCCAAAGAAAATTGACTTTGCTCAGCATAATGCTGCCATTTATGGAGTCTGTGACCAAATAGACTTCATTAGAGGTGATTCTCTTGTTTTGGCTCCAAAATTGAAGGTAACAAGTTTTTCTGTTCTCCATTACTCTTCTTACTGATGCTTGGGTGGCTCCTTCAAAGAGATGTTTGAAGACATTCTTTGCTTAGCCTTTGAAAGAGAGTGGTCTGTCACTTCATGCTACTATTTTCTTCCTGAGACATAATTCAGCTCTGGGTTTTTTTTCCTCGAATCCGTGCTGTTTGATTTAGTTTGTACGTTTTTTGTGTGTGGTTGTTTAATTCAGCTTTGATGGCTCTCTTGTTATTTTCTATGTTTGATTGTCAAATCTTGTTCAAGTGTTGTCTTATTCCTCTCTTCTTTTTTCCTCTACCTAGTTTCAAGGTTTATATTGGTCTTCGCTTTACTTCAGGCAGATGTAGTCTTCATGTCACCACCTTGGGGGGGACCAGACTATTTGAAGGAAAGAACATTTGACATGATAACCATGCTTAGGCCGCATGATGGGTATGCCATTTAGATATGCCTTGAGGATCCTCAGTTATCTATCTTAAGCGGTACTTCTGAAATTATGCATCTTTTGTGTATTATTATCAGGAATTTTCTCTTCAGCGTTGGCAGGGGAATTGCCTCCAAAGTTGTTATGTTCCTTCCAAGAAATGTTGATATCAATCAGTTGGCAGAATTGTCACTATCCGTAAATCCACCGTGGTTATTAGAGGTATTCATCCAGCATTC